AATAAGTCGGGTTTTCCTCCCTGACGCTATAACTCCAGAACGCACGAACCGATTTCCACGGTTTTGCATTCGTTGGAAAGGTCTCGGGCTCCGTGAGGTTTATAGCAAAGAAAATTCAGGAAAAATTTCAACAGAAAAGCGGGAAGGGGGTAAAACGGGATCCACGCGTACGAAGTCGCGGGCGGCCGCTAGTCATTTTAATATAAAATAGGGTCTATCTTGGCAACATAGACGCCTTCGTAAATTAAGTCTTCTTTTAGTATTTAATGCGAATGTTGCGACTGTCGTTTAGAAGTTTAGCATGATCATAATTCTTGCAGTTTTTGTAAGAGTAAAATGTGATCAAGTACGATTCTCTAACCTTCTTTTGTTTTCTTGTTGTTGCATTAAATTGACTAGCACAAACAAGGTTACTGGTGCCGAGGGGTAACGCGATATTACCTGTACCTCTGCACGAAAAACTTTCGACTTCGAATCGTGCAATGCATGCGTATTTGAATCGCCTGATTGGTGGTTGAAGAAGCTTTAGTATGAAAACATAAACAGCGCCCCTGTGAACATGACGTAAAGTGAACTTAGTATGAGAAATGATAGCACTAAACTAATTTTGACAATCGAGATCGTCACGTTATCGTTGAATTCGAAAGCTGAGTGTCGAATTTTGTCGAATACGCAAACGATTAGAAGACGAAAGTTTTTCGTGCTAGAGGTACTGGTGCCTATTACGTACCTACCTGTACGAATCGAAAGAATGCATCCGATACGGCGGCACGTATAAGTGCAATCAATACTACCTACTTCGTATCCCAACTAATATTATAAATGCGAAAGTAACTCTGTCTGTCTGTCTGTCTGTCTGTCTGTCTGTCTGTCTGTCTGTCTGTTAGTCTGTCTGTCTGTCTGTTACGCTTTCCCGCTTAAACCTCGCAACCGATTTTGATGAAATTTGGCATAGAGATAGTTTGAGTCCCGGGAAAGAACATAGGATAGTTTTTATCCCGGTTTTTGAAACAGGGACGCGCGCGATAAAGTTTTTCTGTGACAGACAAAATTCCACGCGGGCGAAGCCGCGGGCGGAAAGCTAGTAAATAATAAAAATCGAAAATTGCAGCGTGTGCGTTTTTGCGGTGCCGATAGAGGTAACGTGTGTGCTTTTAGGGTTGTACTTGTCGATTATAGAACTTGGGATTTTGGGAACCTCAACATAGTGACACAGGAATGAAGGAATCCCACTGTATACCTTGAATATCTTTTTTAAAACCGAATCATTTTTTTAAATGTTAATGACAAAATTAAATACCAACCTACATTAGAAGGTAAATAATGTTATATTTCCGCGGTGCGGCATTAAAAATCTACACAATAATGTGTATGCTTACAGACATGTTTCAATTTATTGACCAACCAGACAGGTGCGTCTAAAAAACCATATCATACCGGTTCCAGTCAGGTTTACCAAACATATTAATATTTATTTATCCAAGGTTTTTTTCACAGAATAACGATTGAACTAAAAAGCGCTTACAACATACTCGAGGCATCGATTGCGAACACGCCAAAATCAGCATTTCGTGAGTGCAATCGATATATACCTATAAAAGTAATGAAGTTGTTGTTGCAGTCATGATTTATTTGAGTAATAAATCTAATAAGACCTATCTTATTAAGGTTTTCCATTCACTTTCTTACATTTTGCTATGCGATCCACAAGCTCGTTTAAAAGAAGTGTTTGTTTAGGAAAGAGTCGTCATTTTTCTCAAACAGTTGTTATAAGCTCATATTATAAGAAACGAGGTAACTGCAAAACAAACTATTATAATATTCATCACTTTATTTCGATTCTTATGCTCAGAAGTGACATCATCAATTCCACCAATTGAACTTTTAATGAAAACAGCGATAACAAAGATTAAAAGCTGTTCACATACTACGAATACCTAGGTTGTATCGTAAATATACATGGTATAGTATACATACATATATATTTTGGTAAGTACATGCATGTCAGTGGCGAGCATTACTTTCAGACAGGCACTTTCAGGTAAGTAGATAGGATATATTTGCAATCTTTAATCCTTTAAGTTTCGTAAAGAAAAAATATAGTAAAAAACCATTTGTAAAAACAAGACCTCATCAAGACCAAAATAACGAGCCCAGACACAATATGGCTGCTGTAAGTCATTGAGGAGTTGGATGATCTGCAGATTGCACTGGTTGCAACATCAGGTCCATCTCAACATAATGCATTATCTTCAGGTTTTTGACAGAAAACTAGATGCTGCAAGTAATTGCTAAGTTCTTGATCTACAATGTAAGGACTAAAAACTTAAACGTGGTTTAATTACTACCTACTTAAGTACTTAGTTCCTTCAAAAGAACAATAGGCAGGTGGTGGGTACCACTATTTTACTGTGTTTGATGTAATGGCCGAAAAGTACATTAAATAACGCCTGCCTGAGGCTCTGCCTGAGATGTTACTTGTTACATTTAGTGCTTACGTCATCGCAAAAAATCAGGCATGGGTCACTGACTTGCTCCATGGGAACTTTTTGCTTCACGACGAGACCAGTTCATTGAGATTTGAAGATGGGCCAATCTCTTCTCTATTGCAATTACTGTTGTTCATGATTTGAATTTTTTGACTGCAGATTATTTACCGACCAAAAGAGTTTTATTTCGAGGAAACCCGTTAAGTTTTATAACAATACATACCAAAATAACTTAACACTTCGTAATACATTAACCCAGATACACCCGTTCTTAGCAGTGATCCAGTGGCAGTAGCATATTCACCTAGTTTAATTCGACTGATAAAACGAAGACATTAAAATTACGTTCATGAAAGACGTCATCATAATCAAGCACAACTGTACCTCGACATTCAATTTATTCAAATATTTTTATTCACCTACAACAAACAAAGCGATGATATCAATATCAAATACCTAGGTAATTAAAAGTCATATCTGTGTATAATTATCTGTACAACAACAAATTCAATATAGCTACCTACTTACTCAAAGTATAATACGTACGCAAGCAAGTGAAAATTTATTTTCAGCTGGACTGTCTAAGTATTAAGTAAGTAACGATTTTCATTTTCAGCGCTCGAATTGAAAATCCCATTTTCGCAACGTCCTTGGCAATGGTTTAGCGACTACCTCCAACCGCAACCACTACCCTAACACTCACCTTGGACATATCGTCAACTTGATGGTTCGCACTCTGAAACTGTATCTCACACTTCCATTTCATGCAGCTCCATTGTAATTAGGGCATTCGATTTTGTTTTAGCACTGATTTAGCGCGGTATTACTCGTGTCGCATTTTCAAGACGCGGTATCGCGGCGAAGGCCCGATCAATACTGTTGGTGTCGTTGCCGGTGGATAAGGAAAAAAATACAGTGTGCTCGTTGAATTACGCGTGCGCGCGCAAACTGTTGTTGACTGACACGGCGCATGTGTGGGGCTGTTGGCCGCCTGGCCGGAGTGGCCGGCAGCTCGGCAGCGCGATGGCGACACTTGCGCGAGGCCACCGAACGCCGGCGTTAATTGTAATGTAATGGCAGGAGATTACATTGCACAGTTTCCACGATGGATATGACGACACTGCTGCAATAGGGCTAAGTAACTGATAGAGCTAGACTGGGTGCACCACACGTACCTGCCTACCCACATCATAGGAACAAAATAACAAAGGTTTTCGTAATTCGTACATTCATATAAGTAAGTATCTATGTAAGGTCCTGCTATCATCATTGATTATGCATATGCACTCACCCCACTATCCATCGATAAATGGGTAATTACTACGAAACAAGAACTAAAGTTATCCGTTTTGAGTTGGTTTTGAAAATAGGTTTAATAAGCAACCCTCGATTACTAACCACGTTACCTACTACACCCTACTGTACAACGACCTCCTACTTAGTTTAGTACCTACTTTGGTAGTTCGCATTTCAGATTCATCAATGGTTTCGGGTTTGAATCCAGCTTTAGGCTATGTGGTAACAAATTAGCATTCACCCAAGAAAGCCATAACATTGGTAAAAAATTCAACGTTTAAGTTTTTGCGGTGCCATACATGTCTTGTTACGAGTAAATGTAGGTAACTATCTTATCTATTTTTCTATTGACATTGTTTTAACACTACAGTACACGCGCCCTCTTTTTTACACCAATACACGCGCGGCCTACTCTGGTAAGCCAATTTAAAATCACTGTTAATCAGTTTGTAAGCAATTTATGAATACAATTACTATGTAAATGATAAAAGTGTTTATTATAATTCTTTTATAATCAAAGTTTATTTATAAAACTATTTAGGATCAAACATTATAAACGGATTTAAAAGTTGTAAATTTTTTGGACCAAAATTGCATTCTGAGATCCATGTTAGCAAAAAATAATTTAGTGAAAAAACATGGTTTGTTTTTTATCTTTCATAGTATTCAAGACTTTCTAATGCCTAGTACATGGGGTAAATCCGTTTTTTGCAAGTCTTCCATAATTTTTTTGTCGAGTGATTTCGGGTTTTTGAGTAGACTCGCAGTTTTGATGGCCAATTTTAGAAAAGTACGCAGACACTAGCGACTCAACTTTCACTGGCTTATTTACAAATTTAGTAAACGAGGCTTTCCTGGAATGTCAGCTCTCTGGCGCAAGTTTTAAAAAAGTTATAGAGTAAAATGTTACCCTGGTCTCCCATAGTAGGCCACGCGTGTACTCTAGTGTTAAAAAGTAAGTACCTACCTACTCTTTTTTTTATAATATTTTATTGAATATTATCACTCATTTGTTAAAATTGCTATTCATAATAATCTTATTTAAATAGATAAACAGGTCTTCCACCTGTTTAGGATTATTTCATATTATGTAGGTACCTAGTTCCTTCTTACTTTTCTGGTAAGCTGTAAAACATTATATTCCCATGCTTTTATTTTTTTTTTGTTGACAGTGACAGCTGTCAGCTGTCATTGGTTTTATTGATCGCCATGTAAATCGGTCGGAGTCGGGATTAGTCGGGAAAAACTTTTACCAGTAGTATTGTGATCCAAATAATGCTTTTTATTGACGCTTTTCTGGATTTAAACCCTTAAAAAGGCCATTACAATATTGAATTCACAGTTATTGCTAGAGAAAGATGGCTACAATATCTCTAACTATTCAAGATATCCTACCATACGGCAACAAGTCGACTAATAAGAAACTGAACCTGGATACCGTGTTACCGTTTGTAATATTGCCACTTTTACTTCTAATAGCTACTCTGTCTCAAACCATCACTATCGCGGTGATGGTAGCTATCAGCATGGGCGTTTTGTACGTACTTTCACGGCCACGTCAAAAAAACAGGTAAATCTTCAATGTACTTCATAAATCGTCTATTACTAACTTTCATATAATAGACTGAAATAATGTAAGGCTCAGAGGTGTACTTTCAACTGATAGAAATAGTTTTTAAGCATCTGATGTCACTTATCTTCTTTCATAGAGGCCTTGTTAGTCATAATATCGCAAAGATACACCTTCTTGATAACAAATATTTGTTATCATTAAGGTGTGTTAAATCACTGTCCAGATAGAGCCATTTCAATCACAAACTCGTACAAATTCTAACAAAAATAACTCCATTCAACAACATAATTTAATTACCATATCACTGCATTAATGCTAGTGAAAGATTTCTTTTCAGATCCCCATTTTTCTTTTCATGGACGCTGTCATCAGGCATATACTTGTTCCTGGTATTTGAACTTAGCATTATGAAGCTGCTTGAGATAACACAGCTTGAAAATTTCATATTCCTTGTGCTGTTAACTTGTACATGCTATTATTTTTACAAAATGAAGGCTGTTGCGGACTTTGAATTAGCTACTGGTTCATCGAAAGGGAAAGAATACAGGTAAATGCAATAAATAATAAATACAATTAAGTAGATAGGTGAAATTTATATAGGTTTACTTACTGACTTGTTCTTTCAGCCCTGTCCTGACTTCTGATTCTCACTACTGCCAGGTCTGCCAAATAGAAGTAAATGATAGATTTTTTCACTCAATATGGTGTGTATTTCTTTCTGTGAGCAAGATTGATATTTGAGTTAACATTTTCATGTTAAGTTTCTTACAATAAGATAATTAAAATAATTATTGCAATAAGTAAATTAATGTTAAATGTTTGTTTCAGGTGGGACTGCTGTGTAGTTCGTCCAAATTACATTTATTTTGTAATAGGACAAATATTTGCATTTGCCACAATTTTATTTGGCGTAATCTTGGGACTTACGACAGTATGCCAACCTTATGTGCTTTTTGGCTCTGTACTAGTTCCACAAGATTGTGATGATGTGTATTTTGAGTTCAGGTAAAAAATTATATCATATTGCATATCTATCTGGTAAAATTGAGAGAGCTATAAAATTAAATTTAATGTTTACTAATTTTGTTTCAGCCTAGCACTTGGGTTTGTCGCATGTATCTATGGTCTAGGCTACTTATTGGTCATAACTATTGTCTTAATCCATCAACTAATAGTATACATTCCAAAATATACAGGTAAGTGTATTGTATGCTTGTTATTTATTAATTTTAACTTTTGTTTGAATAAGAAGAAGAATCAATAACTTTAAATGAAAATAATTACTATAATTGTCATGGTAAAGTGAATTTTTATTTTTCAGAACCTCAATGGAGGAGGCTTGTGAATGTTCTCAATGTTTGAAGGAAAGGCACTACCAGGTATATGTACCTAATCTCAAATTAAGAATTCCTATTAAATTCGTGACAAAGTCATTGGATAGGTTCCCGATCCCATAGGTGGGTAGTTCCCAGAGATTATAGATGAGGGATATAAATTACTTATGTTTGACCAAAGTAGTTGTATTATTATCATTAGTTAATCTACTTTTACGAATATAAAACATAACGTGATTGAATCCAAATAGCTGAATATGAAAAGAGTAGAGAAACTTGTGTAAAAAGAAATACTTAATGCTTTTCTACTTACTATTTATCTACATTTAAGTGACTAGTTTTGGTAATGATACTTTAATCAATAAACTTCATATTATTAAATATAGACAGTAATGATACTTTATAATAAACTTCAATGATACATTAATCAATTAACTTCAAGTTATTAAAATACACCACTAAATTTTTATCACCCAAAAAATTTTAACAGGTTATGTAGAAACGTGTGAAAAATTTAAAGCAAAAGAAAAAGAAATGTTTTTCATAAAGTTAATTTTTTTATTAAATTTTCTTTAGTCCGTATTTTACGCGTCACAGCTGGGTCACTCCGCTGCTCGCTAGAGTAGTCGTACGCGCTCGCACGTTGCATCGATCTGTCTGTCTCGCTCACGCCTCGAACACGCTTCCAGTGTTATTATTACATACTTAGCTAACTTAGACCATTTTGAATTCTAATAAGTGTTACATTATCGTACGTTAACCCAGATACTCCTGAAACTTTTTATACTTGTCAATTTTTATAAATTTTTAGTATGTTTCTAAATAGAGGTCAAGTATCCACAGAAAAATATTAGAAAAATTCTTGGTCCACTGGAAAAGCCGGAAAATGGGTGGTGTTTAAACACCTGGTCTGNTTAATTTATATTAGATATATCTCTATAAAATGTTTCGTATTGTTTTACTTACTTTATTTGTTGGCTTATAAACATTCCAATCTATAGAAATAATGTCTTAAAATCTAACAAACTGTTTTATAAAGGGATTTTAAACTTGATCGAGAGATTCTGCATTATTTTAACTTCATGTTGCATAGCTTTTAATTTTTTTGTGGGCATACAACTACAATATCAAATAAAAAACAAAATTTTACAATAGTTAATAATTCTATGTCTGTATATAACTTGTAAGATTTAGCTTGTAAGCTTGGTAAATAATATCCATACACATTAATACTTCTAGTCCTTACTTCTATACAAATTTATTTAAGGGCTGATTTTTCAATCGTTGGATAACTTAAACTGAAGAATAAGTTTGGCACATTGGCAGTTTCAACATGGAAAATATGTCAAAGTCGCAAGTTTATTCTTCAGATAAAAGATATAGTTCCAAAATACTGGACTGTCCTGTCGATGACATTGACAGTGGGGCGCCACCGTCAATACCGGATCGCTGGTTCAGATTTTTGCCATGTTGGAAACCATATAGTTGAACGATGGTAGCGCCCCCCTGTCATTGAGTTTGGCGGGACAGTTCAGCGTGGGTCATCTATATCTGACGATTGAAAAACCGGCAATAAAACAATATGTTTTGACAGATCGTGGTTAATGCGTCAAATGAGGGTTTCCGTAATTACTTTCACTAGTTGGCGCCACTGGCGATAGGTCATAGGATCTTTCTCCTCAGATGGCGAAAACTGGTGAGCACAATAAATTAAGGAAACCGTCATTGGTCTATTTGCTTAATTATCATGTGTATGTATGGAATGAGGGCTGTCGTATTTCCGGTTACCAGTTGGCGCCACAATATAGTTCGGTGACTCGCTAGTGGCTAAGACAGTATACANAGACAGTAGCGCCAATCTGAAGGGCGCAAGTACAGCATCCCTCACTAGCATTAAACAAAATCCGGTTAAAATAATGTTTTATGTGACAGAGGAAATTGCATGATTCTTTTTTTACACAGAGTAAAAAGCATATCGCGTTATTTTTTTAAAGTTTATTATTGTTATTTACGACAATCTACGTATCCGCGAATATAATTATTATTTCTGTCGGAAATAAGATGATTTTTTATTTTGTAACATATTACTTTACGTTAAGTTACATAGTACACATGTTTAACGTTGTCACCCTTTTATTTACAAACGAAGTTACTTATTTATATGTATAAAAAGAAATACTATAATAGTATGTAGAATTATCACTACCTTTATTTTATTCCTATATTATGTATAACCAATTACAACAATTCGCCTAATCTAATATTTATAATATTGTATTTACTATTTCAAACTTTGTAATAAATATTGAATAAATGATATCTCACAGAAAATGTGTCATAAATAGCTATTTTAATTTTAAATGATTGTCCAAGCCCTCCTTCTATTACGTAGGTAGGGTTACCTACCTGCTAGTACTCGAATAAAAAAACATGTGTAAGTAGTTCATTTATGATTTATTTTATATTACATTTAAATGAACCTTTTTTTGTACTAAATTATACCTAAACTATTTTTTTAACTTTAAGCCCTAATTTATAGCTAAGTCATTTGCAAAACGACCTTAGCGCGATGCGCTTTGTAATCATGCATGGTATCTCCAATTATGTTAGTTCTTTTAACCATCCAGTCTGGGAAATTGCGGAGCTTATAGCGCAACGTGGGCTTTTGGAGAGAAATGCAATTGGAAACTGAACACTTTCTTCAAACAAAGAATGAGGTCTGCTATGTGTAGTAAAAATGCTGCAAACGAAGCGTGCTACAGATCCTGACTCCCGACTTCCTGATAAGCCAAGGTTAAAATGACGTCATATTTGAACTACCCTCAAAAACAAAAGAAAACATCTAATCATCGGGTGGCGCATAATCAGGTACGACTAGCAATACTTTCTCTCTCCATCTCGCTTTTCGTGCCTCTTGTTCCCTCTTCAACGCATTCAGAGCAGGCAAAGTCCTCCAGCAGGTGAATATTTTAAATGACAGGTTGCTGTAAATAAATTCAGAGTATGATTACACAAGGGTCTAACTAAGCTCACTGTGTAAACATTTGATTTTCGCGTTCAATTCAGATAATGTAGCATTTCAAATTAAGTCACATTCGTATGTTCTTCAATACTTATCAAAAAATATTTTTGTGTTGTTCGATTTCGATAATCAACTGTCCGAATTAAATTAAGTAAGTACATAACATAACATAAGGTCATACCTGTTGTAGTAAATAACAGCCATTTGCCATTTCATTTCGTTTTCTTTCTTTACTATTTCAATACCTTCACGAAATTTTCTAAATACCAATTGCATTACGTATAAATCGTAAAAGTCATCTGCCACTTGTTTCTGTAAAGTGTAGCTGTGGACATTCTGTGGACATAAAAAACATAAATAAGTAAATAATTTGAATTCTCTCAGGAAAATAGAACATAACTTGGCTAAGTAAACTCACCAGTTTTAAACGAGAGAAGGTTTTTCTCAACAAAGTTTTCCTGTAAAAATCTTCAGCTATGTAGTTTCTTTCAAACCACATATCCTCTGTATAAAACATCCAGTTCAGAAACACATTCTTCTGTAGTTGAAATATGTAATGCATTTTCGCTTTTTCCATATTATCCCGTTTTATTTGCAGCAACCTTCTGAATGGTCTGATACCAAACCTAATCATCAAACTTCTTTCGTAATGTAAGTCGGCCATAACTATGAGTGCCCTTAATCTCTCGACATGCTGTTTCTTTCTAATGCTTTCAATTTTCTCCTTTTTTCTTTTTTCCCGTAACTCTTTGATTCTCTTCAGTTTCTCTTCCTTGTCCATTTCCGCTTTGGCCAATTCCGCCTGTAAAACAAAAAGTTTAACGCTTTCTGTTGATTTCCATCATGTTATAATACAGGTAATTAAGGAATGATCATAGGATAAAATACGGATTGGAAAGAATATGATATCATTATTTTTTTAAATACCTGTTGCTTTAGTCTGATGCGATCTTCCTCCATCTGCCTCCTCCTTTCTCTAATCAAAGCGTGTTTCTCCTCACGTTCGCGAGCTCTTTTCTCCATTCTTTGTAGAAACTTAGGCACTTTCAAGCAATGCAGAACTAGAGATGGCTCTACAAACAAATACCATAAATAATACATTGTTTACAAACCAACTAAAGTACAACTACCAGACTTTTATCATAATCTCCTCTAGTTAACTTACCTTGAATTTCATGCAATTTAAGCTCATTTGTTAGACATTTAATTTTTGGTTTCAATTGTCTATCAATATCATAATAGGTTCTTCGTACTTCCTCTTTCATAGCATCAACCGATTGTCGGGACGCCTCGACTATTTTGTTATATTTAAGTTCTTCTATCACTCTATTTTGCTCTTCTAGTTTCGCCTTTTGAAGTGCGATGATATGTTTCTGAACCATATATCTAAAAGTTAAGATTATTCAATCAAAATTATGTTTGGAATGGTTTTGCTTAATTTCATAAGTGATGATTAATTTTAGTTACCTGTGTTGGTAAGTGTTATAATCACGAGCAAAAGACTTCGCTTTATTTTCTATCTCAGATGTCTGAAGTGCATTCATCTTTTTCTTGGACAGTTTATCGAAAAAGTTATTGAGGGTTTCTTGTCTTTGCTTATTCATGTATTCCTTCTTTTTTGACACATGTTGTTTCCATTTCCGACTGTACTTCTTCACTAAATATTTTTGTCGGTGATTCATTTCTATTCGCAGTGGAGTCACGTTCAGCACCTTTGAAATATCACTATTTTCTGAATGTGGCATTAAAAAATAAGGATCTTGTTCTTCACCATTTTCCATTTCCTGATTGGCAACGCGTGATGTATTTAGTGGATTTTCGATTTCAAAATCGTCATTTGTTTTAGACATTGCCATCATTATTAGTAACGTTTGCAAATCGTTTTTAACTTGTCCATCTAATACATTTTCAGTATTTTTTGTAAGGTCATTATTACAATTTATATGAGGTGCACTAATATCTTGTATTTCAACAGCACTTTGTTCTGTTAATTTAATTTTACTCGTGATATCGAGTCGTATTGAGTGTTCTTTTATATTATTATCTTCAGAGTCATCATCAGGTTTTGTATTAGAAATTTTATTTTTAGATTTGTTTTTTGAATGATTATGGACACTGACTATTTCAGGCCGTTGTTTAGTATTTATTTTAAAATCACTATCATTACATAAAACTAATTTGGACATATCCTCTTGTAAATCATAAATGCAT